TTTTTTTTATTAAAAAATGTTGCTCTAAGTGGAATATGTTCAATTTAACATAAAACTATATATAAAGTGTCCATGTTTGGTCAAATTTAGATTACGACATGTTTTTGCCGTTACAATAAAAACACCAAAGACATTTCTTCGCTAAAATGACCAACTGCATTAACTTGTCACTTTTTTTGTTATCAATTTTAGGGGCCCTTATCATACCTCCTGATTTTCAGTTAAATTTTGTGATTACATACTTTAACTTAGGTTATTACATATCATCAGTCTGTCATCCAGAAAAGGCTTAAAGTGTTCTGTTGAGACTCTTTTAGATTTGATAAGCCCATACGTTGATGTATTTTAAGACTTTTAGTTTCTAGTGTATCCAATGAAGGGGATTCCAGAAACACGTGACCGGTTTGATACTTTAAATAACTGTCACAAAATTTCACTGCTGATGGATTGTGAAGTCTCTGAGGATTGCACCTGTCAAGTACACTGCTTCGCTACTGCTATGGTCTAAATAAAAATAGGGTAGTTTCCAACAAATTACAAATCAATTCATTTTGGTTCTGAAAGTGACGTCAGTTAAGGAGAACTTGGGATTGGCAATTTTTCCTTTGCAGTTTATGAAATTATACAAAAAATAAAGTTGTGTCTATTGGAAAGTCGACTTTGGCTTGTACTGACGGTATTGGCTGTTCTGTTTCGGTCTTTTGGGTTCATGATTACACTCTACCTGATAAATGTATGAATCGTGAAACAATTAGTGCTGTGCACCCTGGAACTGGTATCGTAGGTTAATTAATCGTATATATTCAATACTTTGGACATTTCTAAAATTTCAACCTTGTTTGGACTCATGTTTTTCATAAATAGCAAGAGATAAAATATGCATGTAATATTTGCTGTTGGACGTTAGACAGCCTCCAATAAATCAGGCAATCGCTTTATTTTTTTTTTTAACTATATACGATTCTGGCAGTTTAAGACGACAGACGGACAACAAGTGATTGCCAATGCTCACATAACCTTTTAGGCCAGGTGAGCGAAGAAAGCAAAACAATTAGTCATACGGATGAAGAGGAAGTCTAAGTACTGCCAAATAACAAGGAATTTTACAGTTTATTTATTTCCACTTAGAAGTGTTATCTTTAATATTATAGAAAAGAAACCAATGAAAATACTGTTAAGTGCAAAAAAACTAGATGAAGCTCACAAAATCATCTGTATTTACTCATGATTTACCTTAATCTTGCAGCCAAACATTTGAATATAAATAAGAAGATGTGGTATGATTGCCAATGAGACAACTCTCCACAAGAGACCAAATGACACATAAATTAACAACTATAGGTCACCGTACGGCCTTCAACAATGAGCAAATCCCATACCGCATAGTCAGCTATAAAAGGCCCCGAAATGACAAATGTAAAACAATTCAAACGAGAAAATTAACGGCCTAATTTATATACAAAATAATGAACGAAAAACAAATATGTAGCACAGCAACAAACGACAATCCACTGAATTACAGGCTACTGACTTGGCACAGGCACATACAGAATGTGGCGGGGTTAAACTAGTTTGAAGGCACCAACCCCATGGGCGGATTCAGGCGGGGGCGTGTGCCCCCCTAAAATTTGCAAAGCATGGGTTGTCCTCAGCTTAAAGAATATTTCGATAATTTTACCTCAAAAACATTTTCGACTCGCGCAGCTCGCCGAAATTTAACTTTGCATTCCCCTTTACCAAAAATCATGGATCCGCCCCCTGAACCCTCCCCCTAACCTGGGACAATGGTGTAACAGTACAACATAAGAATAAACAATAAAAATCAGTTGAAAAAGGCTCAACTCATCAGGTGGATACAAATAGAAATACATCTAACAAAAACACAGAGTGGACATGGACGGGTACTTGTACATCCAAACAACAAAAAGACACTAAGTACAGATATCAGAGTACTCGCAGTTACTGACAGCTAGTTCAAAGCCAATTACAACTAATAAAAAAAATCATGCATCTAAGACTAAATTATCAATCAGTACACATCCAACATCCAATGGATTTAGTGTAGACGTTATAAACAGTCAGAGAAAAATATGACCTTGTGCAATGCCAAGATACAGGTATCGACAGATTGTAGAGCCATGAATGTGCATATGTATATAACAATAATATTTAGTTTGATTTTAATTTACTGATAACAAAATCAATATTAATACCAATAAAAACAATATTCAAAGATCTAATTACAGTGTTGAATTGGTAACCTTTTAGAATCAGTTTATTTACAAGATCGATAAGTTTACCCAACGTTTCTAAATTTCTGGGCTCGGTAAACAACATCTCTGTAAAAATGAGGATTTGCTATCCTGTTTGAAATAAGTTTTCTACAGGTACAACCAAACTTCAAAACCAAATATTTATATCTATGGAAGAATTTAGTAAAGGTTTTAAGTAATTTGTGGTAATGAAATCCCTGACTTAATAATTTGCCAGTAATACATAGATTACATTCATTAAAATCCAAAACGTCACAACAGACACGGGCACAGTGAATGAGTTGTGATATATAAACACTGTAAGATGGTGCCAAAGGAAAATCACCATCCAAAAAAGGGAAATTAACAATAGGGAACGATAAATCGTCCCTTTAGCGTAAATTTTAGTGTAGAGTTTACGTGTAAAACTGAAATATCTAAATCTAAGAAAGGACAGTTATTACCGTTTATATTTGATTTATTCAAAGTAAGTTCCTTTCGGTAAATTTCGCAGTATATTTAGAAAATTCTTGATTATTTAACGAAAAAATATCATAATGATAACGGTAAGTGTTGATGAATTTATCAATTAAATGCAATTTAGATGGGTCTTTACTGAGTTTGGTCATAAACTGTGATTCATAACAGTACAAGAACAAGTCTGCTTTTAAAGGGGCGCAATTGGCGCCCATACCTGTTAGTAAACTTTATTGACGAAACGTACATAAATATTATCAAGGAGAAAATTAACAGCTTCAATCATCTCATCACACCTCCAGTAAGTATATCTAGCATATTTACCTTTCTCATTAGAGAAGAAGGCTTTAAATGAGTTGCAGCAAATAGATTTGCATTCAGATTTACCAAATGACCATTTAATTAAATAGGAAAACTTTAGTTTGATAAGATTGTGTGGAAATGTAGTGTAAAGAGTTGAAAAGTAAAAACTGTCAACAGAATCACAAGGACCATCAAAAGCATGTAATTTATCTAAAACATCCAAAGAATTTTTTACACTCCAAAAATAGTTAATTCCACTAATTTCATTTATTTTATTACAAAAGTTAATGATAAGTTCTTTGATAGTAGTTAAGGAACTAGTTAAAAGCACTGAAAGATTAGTTGTAGATCACTTACTAGAGGCCGAGATGAAACGATATTTTACTAGTTTTTTGTGTAGTTTAAGTAACCAATACATAGTAGGAAACTTCAAATGTTCAGAAGAGGCTTGAGCTGTGATGTGGTTATGATATGTTTGTTTACTATATGACTCCTCTGTGGAGCGCACGGACTTGAATAAAGATGAATTTAAAATTTCATTCTTAAGAACATCTGTGTAGTATTTACGGCGAACTTTATTTGCAACATACTGGTACTCTGGTGGTGGGCAACAATAATATCAAGTATCCTTAAAATCCTTCAAGGCATGCAAAAGAGTTGGAAGTAACTTTAAAAATGTGAATCTGTGACCTTGACCTTCAAGAGACAAGTGGATCTTATTCATGACACCTCTGGTAGTAGTCAACAACAGTACAAAGTATAAATAAGATCTTTATTGACATTCTAAAGTTTTGAGTTGGACACGACTCTGATATTGGAATACCGGCTTTTATAAGTTTTGAGTTGGACACGACTCTGATATTGGATAACTGGCGGGTTGTAAAGTTGAACTAAGTTTGTGACCTTTAAATTTCATTCAAATATTTCAACCATAATTGGGTCTAGGAACACACACTTTGGTGTTGCACAACAATAATACATCTATCAAGGCATTCAAGAACTGAGTTGGACTTAAATATCATGGGTATGTAAACTAATTTGTGACCCTGACTTTGCAGGCAGACATTCCAACCTAATCCACACTACACACACTTTATTAGTGGACACAATAATACCTAGTGTCAGTACAGGGTTCCTACTATTTTTGCAACAAAACATTTCAGGGTTTTTACAGGAAATTAATATATCTTAAATGATTGTTAAAGAAGCAATACTTGTATATGTAGAAACCGTAATTATCAATTGACTGTAAGACATTAAGTTTAGGAAGTATACCAAATAAATAGCCTTTCTAACAAACACTCCAAAGACTTGAGTCATGTTACGTAACTTAGTTCTTAAATCAAAGGCAAAACAAAGTCTCATATCAATGTCAATACCAATAATTCTTAATGGAACATTGCATTGCAAAAGGGAAATAATTTGAACTAAAAAAAAAATAAAAGAAGAATGTGTCTGAGGACACGAATGCCCCCACTCAAGCTAACCTAGCTTTCCAATGAAAATGGGATGGGCAGAAAAACAGTAGGATGGAAGGACAGACGGTCAAGGGTATCACTTAAGGATGCCTCCCTGGCCTAAAAATGGGGCATAAAAATAACTAACAAACATTAGAAATTCCTGGACTTTTGCCATTTCCACAAACTTGAAATTTTGTTTTAGCCCTGGCACAAATGGAATAAATTCAAGGTTTTTTCTAGATATCATGAAAGGATGAGAACACTGTCATTAACATCTTGCAAGGCATTCAAAAGTTTAAATAGGATAACTAGCACGGATAACAGACAGATGGACAGATTCCTAAATACCAAGGCAATCTTTATTGTCAGGGTGTGATTGTTATCCAAAACCTTTTTTCCACAAAGCTATGACCTTTTAAAGCACATGATATTAAAAAGACATATTTTTCCAAAGCAAAATCATAAATTACCAATTAATCATTAAAACATACCAATCAAGAAACACAAACAGCTTTATAAATATTTTATTTTGCTGTACAAATTATCAATATTCATATTTTAAATTTAACATCTATTTTACAAATGGAATGCATCATAAATAGTAAAAAAATATCACTGTACATCTCAGGACGGACTTAAAACATACTACAGGTATATAGCTTTTACATTTGATTTTCCTAGTAAAGAGACTTTACCTTTATCATTTTTTTTATGGAGAAATACAAAATGTCTATTGCAAGCTTTATGGTTTCTTACTTGTTTTTTTGTGGAAATTACATCGATCTAACCTTTTACAGTTCTAAAATCCAAAAATATGGACTCAAACAATCAGCACAAGTTAAAGAGTAAACCCTTAAAAGGACAGAATTATAAATACAACACACATCATTAACAAACAAGAAAACAGAAGAAATATTCTCTTCTTACAAAAAATACTAGTGTTATGAGTTGCATTGGTCTACCTTGTACAATATGAAATAAAAACACTTTATAAATTAAGTGTGTCAGAAGCACTTTTCTGGATGGAATAAGATGATAAACAAAGTCTTGAGAAATATCTTGGGTGAAAGTGCAAGATTCATTCAGACAACTTCCATGTAAATTAAATGTATTTTACATAAACAATATAATTGAATACTCTGTATTACATGTGAACATAATTGTAGTACAATTGAATGAACTTGTGGGATAGATGAAATTAATAGTTGACATTGGACATAGCAGTTCATGATAAAATGTTGTAGTAGAGAAAGGTGCATTGGATTCTGTCTTTCAAGAAGGTCCATGAAGGACTGAAGCTGATTGGATATACAAACCATCAGGCACTGTTAGTATTGTGTTCAACATTTTCTTTAATTATACATATCATCTTTGCAGTAAGTGGACAAGCATTATCTAACTTCCATGCAATTATTGTATGTTAAAATACATTGTACAGCAAAGCAGATTGTATTTATATACTGCATTTTAGTAGATCATCATAATTAATCATACCATCTTTAGCTTTTTGAATGGTAGAGGTATTCATTGCTTAATGAAAATTTTCAAGGGTGGATTTTGGAGGGAAGCGTGACAGAAATATTTCTATTGGTATGCTATTATATTCAACAAATGCACAATAAACAAGAATATTACAGCATCACAGCTTTGTATAAGTAAAATCAATGAAGATATAATTTTTCAGCAATTAATATTTTGTAAAATACTGAAAAATTCTATTTTGACAGGTCTTGCAATCAATTACCTTGTTTGTCACAATTTTCATAAGTAAACTTTTAAAAAACAAGTAATGTCTGCTTAAATGGCTAACTTTTTCTTCCATCACTATTTAATTTTATTGCTATCGCTGACCCATGAAAAAACATCAAATACGACGTAGAAACTGCATAGTTTCTATATTGCTGTAAGTCTGTGTTGAAGTACATGTATATTGAGAAAATAGATATTTTTATCATACCATTATACTGTGAATTCGCCACAATTGGCAGTTTGAAACTTCATTTAGAGTTTTCATGCAGTAAGATCTTAATTATCTAAATAAAGTTTTCAAGGTTTAGAATAATGTGGTAATATGAATTTGAATATAAATCTTTATTCTTTTACAGTAAATCTCCAAAATAAAACAGTGTTTAACAAATAAATATCACAGTTTAGAAGACCTCCTCAAGGCAGAGGGACTAGGTTGTCTTTGGCCCATTTCTTCATGGTTCGTACAATGTACTCTACTTGTGGATTACTGGTATTCCTTAACATGTTGATGACATCCCGTAAAGTGTCCCTACAAATATACTACTGGTTAATACTACAGGCAAAAAGCATGCAATGTATAGTAATCTTTCTAACTTAAAACCTAAGTGTTTCATGCAAGTAAGTACAGTTAACTTCCATTATGCAGACTTGAAATGAGTCATGTATATATTTTAAGATTTATACAAATGTTAAAAAATATAGCTTATTCTATATTCATCAACTTGAAGACATAGGGTGATCAACAATCTAATGACAACTCATGAAATTGTGTAAATTTAAATGACTACTGAAATTCAATTACAATTTATACTGATAATGAAAGTTAGCTGTGCTATGCAAATAATATATGTAAGTGATTATGCATATATATTTATATTCTTATAAAAATGTGTAAATTTTGTTATATGTCATTATCCTTGCTAAAGATCATCTGATTAGTTCTTTTAAAATATTTTTCAACAACTAATTCAGAACTTTAAACAAACTAATCTTCTTATTAAGTTGCAAAGGTTTTAAAAATGTACAAAGGCATAAAAATATACAAAGGCATAAAAACGACAACAAAATAATGGTGTACAATAATACATTCAAACTGGTACAGTATTATCTTTTGCCCATTTTTTCAGTGTCCTTATAACATATTCTGCTTGTGGATTATTAGTATTCCGCAGCAGTCGAATAGTTTCACGTAGCTGGTCTCTGCACAGATAAAGGAAAAAAATTTAGCAAGTAGTTCACGGAAAATATCTAACTCGTGTGTTGACACATAACATAATGCTAAGCTTTAACTCCTTTCTTGAAAGTATTTGACAGACTCTACATTGTAAAGTCACCATTCTTTCCTTTCAAGTACTTCTTTTGTTTTAAATATTGTATTTTCAAAACTGCAATTTGATAGTAGGATCATAGTTCTATGAAATAGGACTTTGCCTGTTTTTACCTAGTTACCCTTCTCTTTTCAAAGTTAAGTATGTGGAATTCACCTCAAACGTGGAATTTTCAACAGTGAATACAGCATTTAAAGAAATGTATATCACAGTAATAGAAAATATTGTGCTTGCATTCTTAAATATCTTACTGGATATATTGATATGTGTTTGGAGTTATCCTCTGATCATCTTTTGGAATATTTTAATATTTGGCGTTAAACTATTGTTGTGACAAGTTCTATATAATTTATTGTGTTTAATGATGACAAAACCACAGAAGGAAAACTATTTTTGATATACTAACCTAGGTTCATGTCCAGCTATAATCATCTGGAATACCCCCACACAGGCCCCTCTCTTGCCTTCCCAATACTCAGGGTTAGGGTCTAGTCTCTCCAGTACATCAAATGCCTTAGCTGCATAGTAAAACTGTCCCATCTACAGTAAAAGAAATATAAGTTATTAATCATTTCTAAATTCTTTGTGATCAAAACCCAGAATAGAGGATTTTACTTTTTATCTGCAACCAAGGATCCAAATGAAAATTTCATTTATTTTAAACTGAAATTGAGCTGATCCTTTAAAGCATATTTCATCATTATCTGCTTATGTAAATTTAGAATTATGGAAGTAGTACATGTATATCTGATTTAAGTGTTTTTTTTCTACCTGGCATTTAAATCATAATGGAACATAATGAATGTAAATTTCTCTAATTTGTTCACTTTTTTCACATTTCCCAACCGATTGTGAAAAAAAATTTTCTCCTCACTAGTGAAATAACTGTTCTCTGCAAATCATAGGTCGAAATTTAATTATGACGTCAAATTTTCTTGGTTTCTTATGAATTTCAATAGTGATGTCATGAAAAAAAGGTGACCATGCCTGATGACGTCACATATAAAGAACACAACTTTCTGCAAATCTTTGAAAAGGAGGATAAAAATCATTAGAGAAACAGATTTCAACACTATAACTCGTGTATTACAATATTTCTCCACTCTCAACAGTTAAATTTAAATTATTCAAAAAGCTCGGCAAGCCTCACGCTTTAAATATTAGAATTTAACTGTCTTGAGTGGAGAAATATCATAACACACCTGTTGCAGTGGTGGAATCTATATCTCTCAAGTCATTTGGCATAGGAACATATTTCCCACAGAATTCTGTCCAATTAGATAGAAAGTTTTTAGAGGAAAATAATCCAAGGTATAGTTTCACTGAATCATCTCAATATTTACAAGTTCCTCATTACATCCCAGATTACACTTTCATCTAGTAAAAATAATTTTGTCTGTTAATTTATTAAGGCTGAAAATAAGTTAACCTAAGCATGATCAGTGATATTTATAGTATCACCAATCAACATAATTGATTATCAAAAATAAAGTGTGACCAAATGACCAGAAGAATTAAACGAGTGCAGCAGTTTAAAAGATAGCTGCACTCAGTCACAAGAGGTTTTATTTTTTACAACAATTAGTTATACTTTTTATTATATAGAAACGTCTATCAAAACTCTTTGCTGTGTTACTGGCGTTATTTAGATTCAATTTATGTAATGTGGATTTCACTGTCCTTATTTGGCGTATGAATATATGTGTATTGCACTCAGTTGTCAAAATGGCAGATTGTCACTTTGAGAAGATTGATGCAGATTGTGCAATTATTATGAAGCAAGTAGTTGTTTTAAAAGCACCCAGACGATTGATTGTTTTAATTATTAAGGCCCAAATCTTGAGTTGGAAGTCTAAAGTGAGATGCCGGTTATAGGCATGGAAAGTCACAAAGTGAATAGAAATATTTCACGTGAGATTATTGGAATTTATCACAATCTGAAATTCATTAAAATCAACACCATCTATATAATAATTCGTATAATTCATTCATTGTCAACCAACCAAATTTTGATTGAATTTTTTTTCTTGGGACTGATTGATAATTTAAAAATCAAATAACATTAATTCTAGCTTCCTTAAAACTTTACTTATGAAATTCAAACATTATAATAGAAGAAACTAACAAATATTGTAAGACAAGTGCCTGAAAAAATTCTACCATAGGAAAACATGATCTTTCAACTTTTTAAAGTTTCTTTAATGCTATACCTTGTAACAATCATTTGCTATAAGTTGTAACAAACTAAATGATTCTCCTGAAGTCTCCATCTTTAGATACAACTCCCAGGCCAGTCGTGCCTTTCTGTTCATTATATCTATAAAAGTATTCATACATCTTGTAACAATTTATAAAATGTGTTTCTTTTGCATGTGATTGGTTTTTTTTTGTGTATACATTTTTTTCTTCAATAATTGAAATGTGTGCTGTTAAATATTGTTCATAAAAACGTATTCATTCAATAGTTTTGTTATTTACAATTTTTCATGTTATTAAACCAAATTCTCATCATGATAACATTGTATACATGTAAAACAACACAAACTACATGATGAACAGTAATTAACTCTGAAAATACCATTGTTAAACATGGATTCAATTTTCATTGTTTATTATTTTTCTGTTGTTTCCTGAATATTTGGTATGCTAATGGCTATCTAAAATCTGTACAATGTACAAAACCACTAAACCCTTAACCAAAAAAGAGTTTGCAGTAGGCAAAGATAGGAAGATATATCTACTCCAGAGTACTTACAACATCTTGCTAACCAACTGAGATATGTGTAGTCATTCTTTGTCTTCTCACTTTGTATTAATAAAAACACCTATAAAATATTGAACATCTATCAACAAATAAATCTTCATATATATATATATACATATGATGTAAGTCTTCCATAGACTGTGGAATGTTTGGGTAGTTGTCTTTTAATCAGCTCTTAAAAATGAATAGCATTTAGCTGTAATTAAATCATTTTAACATTGATAATCATTTCCCTATTTTAATGTAACTGATCCTAGAGTGTCTCAGTTTGTTTAATAAAACTTTTAATTAGAATGTTTAGTTTTTATTCTAATAACAGCAAAGTTATAACATAAGAGAATCCTGCTTAAAGGTTTTAAAAGCTCATTTCATTGAATTTTTTTCCTACCTAATAAATATAAAGTTTTGACAAAAAAACCAACATTTTTACACAAAAATAAAGCACCCAGTACTTAGAAATATAAAAATATACCAGGAGTAACACCCAAGCATTTAACACCTTTACATATAGGCCAAATGATGATTAATGTTATGTTACCTCTTCTGCTTCTTTGAAGTTTCCTACAGCTGCCTTGGCTTGAGCATAATTAAAGTTGAAAGTGTCATCATTGTAAAAGTAACTCTACAAAAAAATAAATGCTGAGGTTAATGAAAAGTCTAATTTTGATAGTGTCTAATATCTGTTTATTACATACCTGCCAACCCTCCCATTTTAAGCGGGAGTCTTCTGCCCAAACAATGAAATTCCTGAAATCTCCCACTTGCTGGTCCGCTCCCGCGCGGGAGTATACAATCTCCCACTTTTGGATATTTTGACCTGGAATAACCAGCGTTTGTAATTTTCTGGCTTTTTCATTACTTTCAATAGAAATAAATAAACAATCGGCGATCATTAAAAACTTTGGTCAGTAGTTTTTATGTTCGATATATAAGTAATCGAAATTCAGTTCTGCTATGTCAACTCCAACAAGATAGAGGTCTTTGTCTGGACCAAGCAGCAGTGTAAAAAAGAAGAAATAGATAACTGTAAATCGAAATGTCAAGCAGATTTGAATGAAAGATTTTCAATTTTTACGACCAAGACCAAGTGAACTTGGCAATGAATCTTTTTGCACATCATGTTCAGTCAACTTTTCGATTTCTTCTGGTGGTCTGTACGATGTTTGAAAGCATGCTTAGTGTGAGACACACAACAAAATCAAAATATGGAATGCTATGAGTTATGAGACTCGGAGGTATTGAAAAAGGCTAAAAAAAAAAAACGCCTTGTATAGATTATAACCATGTATTGAAGAAATAAAGTATATTTATTAACTCTTATTGTCGTTTTGTAGATGAATACGTAAACAGGTCATATATTTAATTTGAAAATGTCGTTCGCGCAAAATCTCCACCTCAGCTGTCATAGCTGAGAGGGAGATCTCCCTCTTTGAAGGTTTCAGAGGTTGGCAGGTATGGTTCGTTAGTTTGTTACATAATCATTCAATATAAGAAAACAAAAAGCTGTAACATTTTTCAATATCATTCAATTCTATTCTATACAACAATGACTTTTAATGAGATGGACTAAAGATTTGTTTGTTTTCTAGAATTTTATTTACAAAAGCAACACATAGGTATATCTAATTTCTAGGTTAACTAAAGGTACTATGAGCAAAGCTCATAAAAGGATACCCCAGCCCCACCCCTTGTATTTATCTTAAAATACTGTATTGACATTGACCTTGGAAACAGCCATGTCAATATTATTCCCAACTCTAGTGGTGGACAAAAATAATATCAACAATCATAAGTATCCTTCTTTTTGACAGCATTATTTTAATCTATATAATGAAACTTGCAAGAACATAAAAACATTATTTCTCATTAAATACTATTTTACACAAACACTACACATACTTGGGAAAATAAAACTGAATTCTATACACAAGAGTTTCAATAATTGCTATGAAAATCCATCAAAATTCAAATAAAATTTCAGCACGATTTCTATAGAAAAATTTATGGATATGGTTTTGACATTAAAAAAAAAAAATATCTAGGTTTTTCACTTGTTGCTTCATTATGACAATGTATTTAAGAGTCAAAAAACTATTTTGCAGCCAAAATTGTCTAATTTTAGTGTACTGTAGTATTATTTTAATTTTATTAATAGGATATTCAAGGACTCTCTCCTCTTACGCACACTAATATCATAATATTCAGAGATAACTTTATTTAGATCACCATACCTTTATAGAGTTTAAATATATCAATACATCTTCGAACTGTTTTAATAAAAAGAAACAGGATGACATACACTGCCTGCCAGGAATGGTGTCTGAAAATATCAATAAGTATGTATAATATCATGTCAACAATGTAGACACTATGTAAGTATAATGTCAATGAAATATAGGTAATTTATGATAACAAAGTTCACATCATCACTTCAATTGGCTCAATAAACTTCAGATCTTGTTAATAAAGAAGCTTCTCTAACGTTGCTATCCCTTGATAATAAAAAAAGCTTTGGATCAAGTTTCATAAAATTCAATGTACATTTGACTAGAAGATGTCATTGATGTCAATAAGACAGTAACCAAACAACAAAATTTACCAAAAGACATACAGAGTGCAACACACAGTCCTCAAAAAGTGACTGTCTCCTTTAAGTAAAGATGTATTAAAAAAGTATGAAAATACAAAAAATAAACTGTTGCACAGAGATATATCTCGCCTGTCGGCAGAAAATTAAGAAAAAGACAATCTGATGGACAGTTACATTTCTAATTAATTCAAAGTTGCTGGACCATGACATTGAGGGCAGCACCTCTAAATGATTGTCAAACGAGATGTACTGATAGTAATGCAATTTATAGAAAACATCATTGTCTTTCATAAGAAGTTCCTATCAAATCAAATTAAGCAGAAAAGTTAACATGGAAAATTGGTAATAAATTAAAATTCACTGGACCATGACATACAGGGGCAACACCTACGGAAATGCAGTACCTATGTCTTGCTTCTGCGATGAAAACTAAAAGAAAACAATAAATCAACAATAAACTCACTTACGTACTTTGTATATAATTCGGCAACCCTTTAGTAAGAACAAACCATTTTTATGATAAACATTATAATAATAACATTTGAAATATTGCTTATTAACTCAAAGTTGCTGGACCATGATCTAGGGGGTAGGGCCTCCAAATGGTTGACAAACTGAGATGTACTGATAGTAATACAACTTTATAGAAAAAATCATTGTCCATCACAAGTAGTCTCCTATCAAACTAACTTGATCAGAAAACCTAACAATGAAAATTGCTTACTAATAGAAGTCGCTGGACAATGACCTAGGGGAAGGGCCTCGAAATAGTCATCAAACTGATATGTGCTGATAGTAATGCAACTTGATAGAAAACATCAATGATCTATCAGTAGTTCCTATCAAACTGACTGACTTAAGCAGAAAACTTTAACAATTGTTGACCCCTAAGCATCAGGAAAAGCAACATCTATGTCTCTCTTTCCGCGACTTTCACAGGCTAGACAAAAATCAACTTGCAAGGAAGCATTTACATTAGTCTCAAATAGTTTCAATATCATTATAAAATACTCACCACATTCGCTGGCAGATCCACCAACTAACTGAAAATACTGCTGAGCTATCTTCAAATGTTCTCTCTGAAATTAATAGAAGTCATCTTTAAAAGTTTGTTGTAACATTGTTCTATCTCATTTTCACAAACAATTTGTTTTCTTTTCCTATTTGTTGATTGATAAAAAGCAAAACTAGAATGTAACTATTGATCAAAATCAAGTGCAATATTCAAATGTGCCAAAAAAAAAACTAACATTAGAGGTCATCCATATTTCTCAATTTTCCAAAGTTGACAATGGCTTCTTATATGTATTGGAAAGAGGGGAAAAGTTGACAAAAAAGTACAATTCAATGCAATTTGGATTTGTTTGTAATTTTGGAAATTCTAAATTGGTTGCTATCTAACTTTAAGAAATTTCGACAATAATTGTTTATATGAAAGCCAAAAACAAAACAGGATGTTATTACAAAACTTAAAACAACATTCAGCAAATTTCGAATTTCTTCAACAAACTATGGAGACATTTACCCAGACATACAAATTCTTGGTATGAGATAGTGTGTCAGACTTCCAGGCTGAGAGCCTCTAAGAATAAGAGGTCGGAAAGATAATCTGTCAGTTTAATAATATAGTTATCGACAATTTTGAGATATTTCTATCATACATTTGGTCAGACACATTCTGAAAGTCTATTTGCCTGAACCAAATTTTTTTCTGACATGCCAGACAGTGAGAAAGATTTCTAGACCTCTGTTCAGCTAACATCCAATTTTATCTATATTTGGAAACAGCCCAAGATTAATATAGAACTCAATGATTAGCATGTACCAATACATAAAGTTTAGGAAATTCTATTTGCAGTTTGCACACATCAGAATATCAATGAGACCTATGAATGACCGGTTAAGGAATTGCTTGTGTTCCAATATAAGGGAAACAAGAAGTCTTTGCAACTCACACATCTATATATATCTTTTGTTAAATAAACAAATATTTCATGATTAAATTTTCTCAATTTTTAGTACTAGTGTAATAATTTTAACAAACTTGAGTACTTTTTTTTCATATGAATTTGAACTTTTTTAATATTTAAAGTGTAATGCATTCCTTTAAATGAATTAGTAACTTTAGTTTGTGCGAAGATGTTTGTTAATTCAATAGGACACTTTCTTACCACAGTTGAATCATCCTGAATAAATAACATTTCACTTAATGTATAAGAGTAAAAGGGGTGACAAGGGGTGAATACTTGAACACATTTTTGTCAAAATGCATTTAAATTTTCAAAGTAAAAAATTCTACATCAGTGCATCCTAGTTTGTGATTTAAATAATGTTTACTAGTAAAATGAAAATCAAGCATTGAAGTAATAGTCTTTTTGTAAAAGAGGCTTCTATCCCAAATAAAGAAATCTGAAAGGCTAAACACATCTAAAGATTTTAAAAGACTGCTACTACAATATCCTAAAAGCCAATGAAGGAACCAAAAATTAGCAAAAAGTACCAGAAAAACGGTATAAAAAGCTACACTTCAATTTTCCTTAAAAATCTGATACCTTTGTTTCAACAGGAGGACCACTTCCCTTTTCTTTCTGGGTAGGTTCCTATTTTTACCAATGCATTTTTAATAATAAAGATTATTGTTTTCACTTTGGTAAGTTATCATCTATGCAAAATAGAGTTCAAAGAAGACATTTAAAAATATCTTCAAGACAAATTCAAGGCATTACAACTAAGATGAAAAATGGAATGTCATTTACACATGTTCAAGAGGAAAGTTTTACAATGTGCGATCATGTCAGTAGAAAAATTACTTTAAATGACATAGTTTAAACCTGAATGACAATGATAATTAAATATCAAGAAGCTATTACAATATATAACACTTGGTTAGAATTTACAAAAAAGTTATTGTTACTAAGCAACTCATAACAATAAAGTACTTACTGATCCAGATTCTTGTCCTAAAGCAGCATTAACCACACCTTTTAATATGTATTCTTGTGGGGTTGTTGGCTCTAAGTCTTTAATCAAGTTGTATGCTTCTGTTACATCATCTGAAATAGAAATATTGCCATGGAGCATTGTGTTTTTCATTTTGTACCAATTTTCATTAATCTGACAGTTATTTTAGTGTGGTTATATTACATTATTAAAGGATCATCCATTTACAGTAGACTTCCTAGAAATCTTGTAGCAGAGGCTCAAGATTTATTGATTTATTTTTATCTCCTGCCAAATTATCTGTTATTACCTTGTTTTAAGTAATAAATAACTAAGTTAAGTCTGGCTTCAGGTATCACATCAATCAGGGGAGGTAATACTTGTAATGACCCTTCTCCACCACGGAATACAACCTAAAACATAAAATCATTTAATTGGAACAATATCATTTGCAAGACATCAAATGGGTGTCGAAAAACTTTACATGTTATTGAATTCATAATGTAAAAGGTACCTCTGTAACCTTTATGAAAACTGATTTACTATGAATAAAAGTAAAAGTGAAATTCATTTTCACATCTTATGGACATTCTTGTTTGTAAAGAAAATTATGAATCATAAAATGTGAGTTAAATGGTAACAAAGATATAATGCTCTCATTAACATTCTAAATTTCTTATTAGAGCTATTTTATCATATATTTTATGTAATTGTTTCAATCATAATTTCTGTTTTACAGTTGTATTTCATGCAATTTATCTTTTATACAGATGATTATGAATAGTATAAGACATTTTTGGTACTACATGACTTGATACTAACTTACCAAATCAGTGCTCAGTGCGACAATGACTTACCAGGTTATGTTTTATGAGATCTCTAGCAAACACAAATGATGGTGAGGCCATTTCCTGTAAACTCTTTAATTCTGCCTATAACATATAAATATTAGTTTAGAATAAATATAACAACCTCGACATCACGCAATGATAATTAAGTTTATCTTGAATGAAGGGAGATGAATGACTCAACTTTCTACTAGAGCGTTAAATAAAACAAGGGCCATAAATCTTGAGCAGCATTAGCTGAAATTGTCAAAATCTGACTCAACCTCAATGTAGTTGTCAGAAACTGCATATCAAATTTGAAAAGGATAGGTTAAACCAAGTTTAAGTTATCGCAATAAAACAACATGAAATGCCATGTTTCAATCAATCAAGGACCCTATCCCTATATTCCTATATGGAAAATTGTCAATATATGACTTGACCTCCATTTTTTCTTCTATATTCAAAATTAAAAGGGTTGAAAAATTCTCAAATTATGGCATGGAAGCAGATGGAGCAGACTACCTGCCTATATATTAATGGCCTACTGGAAGTTTTTTTAAAATACATTCTGAAAAAATATGTTTGATTTTCAAATAAATTCAGATTTTGCATTTGGCAATTATTGCTAAGACAGAAGATCATTTTGTTTTATCCGATCAAAATTTTAAGACATGAAAAACAAAGAAAAAAGAAATGCATTGTAAAAAATTGCTGTTCCTCTGAATGTACATTTTTTGCCAGCAAACCTCTTATTCCATAGCCAAGCTATATGTGTGTTCCTACCTCTGCAGCCTTCCCATTGTATAATCTGAAATGATTACATGCTTTCAAGTTTAAGGCTATAGCACTGTCTGGATACTGTTGTAAATATACTGCTAAAACTTCCTACAATGATACAATATAATTAGTTTCAAAACCATACAAGTACTATAATAATTCATTTGAAGAAAACAAATGCGTAAGAGTATCTGTACCAGGAGTCAATATAAGCAACAAAAACAATATATTTGTAAATGATTGCAAACATTTTGTGGTTTAAAGAATTAAGCCTTAGGATTAAAATGTATGTTGTGAAGAAAGTTAACTGTAAAGATGAGATGCTATATCCTAGTAGAGGAATTTAAAATCCGAACTGATCAGACTCACTGACCAAGGGGGACACTGTCAAATGGATGGGTGTACTAAGAAGTTGGTTTAAATAGACATGTGTAGATTCCCTCATCATTTCAACACCATAGTAAGGGTAAAAAATTTTGCACCAGACATTGGAAAAAAAGACAAGGTGAACTTGCAGTACCAGTGATGTGTAGTGAGTACATACAACTGGTTTATCAAAGATATTTCAGTTTTTAACACCCAAGAGACTGCCAGTAAATATTGTACACAAATATAGAGTGTTGTAGAACATTATTAAACAAACACTTGCCCCATAAGAATTTTCTTTACAATATATAATATTTAGATGTATAAGATTATATATAATCAGGATAATAATATAGCTGCTATTTTAAAAGAATAAATTTGAGTGCAATTATGTTAACTTACCTGTGACACATCATAGTAGTCTAACTTGTAGTAACATAAAGCAACATATACATTTAATGCCAGGAAATCCCTGAAATAAAAAAAATCCATGGTTAAGGGCCGAGTTTTCTTTATTGCTGTGGTACTTGGGTCTAACCACAAAATTCACTGAGATTAACAACTTTACATTAATCAGTATCTATTTTGCAGAAATAAGTCAGAATTAGTGTTCCAAATCATAAAACTCTTAACATCAAGATGTGTTAAAACTGTTATTTCTTTATAAACTTAAATCATGACAATTCTTCTAAATGAAAGCTCATGGACTTAAAAAGAGCAAGACTACATAATAGTTTGACAATATAAGAATCAGATGAGTAAGGAGTGTAAAATAAAAAGATTTTTACACCTCTAGATGTCTTTATTTGTTTCTATGGGTTGCTATCTCATTGTCCTATGTATACAGATAACCTTTAATTCATATTTGCACTACCATCAATTAAATGTGTATGTGCTAACCTATTATCTAAGAGAATACGTTTGTATATGTCTATAGCCTCTTGATAATGACTGCGGAGATAATGTATAGATGCTAGGGATAACTGATCCTCTATAATGTCTTGTAAGTTCTGATGGAAGCCCATCAAACGTTTTTCATCACTGAACTTGTGTGATAAATGGAATAGCAATCTGTTCTGTAGTCGACTTTTAGGACCTGAAATGTAAATGAAATCTTTCAGTTATATTGACCAATTTTAACTTAAATTCTCCAAGGTTAAATGGTTCTTTATGTGTAAGTGTAAATCATTGATGGTCTGTCTTAAAGAAAAATTGTGTTAATCAGTTAATAAAAGTAGTTAGGTTGGTTGGAAGTTTCAATGTTAGTTGGTTAAACTTTCTAAGAAAAAGCCATCGAAAAATTTACTAAAATAGATAGCATCATGGTAAAATGTATAATTATGGACCTAGAGAGATGAATTTCTTAAGAAAACACTTTTTGTATAACTCCCATACATTTGAATTTGGTTGGGTAAAGAAAAAAATTTATTATAACTTTGGCTATACAATTATATATGGCTATAAAAAGAATTTTTCTCATGTCCTGAACATGCATGAAATATTTGCCACTGTATATTCATTAAACAACAATGGTTCAAAAGGATTTTGTGAGAAGGGAGATAATTCTTGTTACCTAGAAATTCAAAAGGGATAATATAAATAAAATCATAACCTCATTCATTTCAATATAATATTAATCATGCAAACAAGTGAAAACTGCACACTAGAAAAACAGGTAACAGATGGCTTGATATTTTTGTTGTTGTTTTTTTTGGGGGGGGTTCAACTATATAATTTTTTTTTTGAAAAATGGAACAATTAACAAGTTTTTGTTAAGAATCAGGAAAGCCATACATTCAGTGTCCTCATTCAATTTAAATATGCAAAACAAAGCTGTTTTTTATATAAATTCTTGCTGATGTCATTATTGAAGATCTAGAATATTTTCCATAATTGGAAAAGTTATAAAGACAGTATTGAAATATGCATGAAAGACAAATCTATATTTATACACAATGGCAAATATCCTCATCTTCAATTTAGGAATAATGTGCGAATATCTTTCTTATGTAAATGATAATCTTGATGCTCCACAAAATTATTAATTGAAAGGTAAAATAGTCGTTCTTTCAGGTAAGTTCCTAAATAGTTCAGGACTTTTACAATTCTGAAGAGTATATCAGACTGGTTGGTTGTAATCCTAACTACTATGAATTTTGCAACGTAGTGGGTTATTTTTTACAGAAGAAATGAAATAATTGTACATGCAGGTCACAGGTTAGTTCTGTGTATTGACATTAGTTGTATGAATGGGAAAACTGTCAAAAAACATCCTCTACAATAAAGGTATTAGACGTGTAGGGTGTAGTGTGGTGAACAGGGTTCTTGTAAGTAAGGTCTTGACAGTGAATGAGATTCTTACAAGTAAGGTCTTAAATAAAACTGAAACATAAGGTCGAGTTGAAATAGGTATTTTTGATAAAAAAAGGGAGGCTTATTAGATCACATACTATGTAAGATATTATTCAAATCATTAACATAAGAATATGGATCCATAGGATAACATTTCATGGCTTATCACGTTTCCATGATGTTTAGTGTCAAATTAGTGAACTACAAAATCTGGGTCCAACCCCTTATTTGGCATATATTTCAAAAAGTTCACATTATAATAACAAGTTCCAAGTTGATGTGACCACAAATTCCTGGTAAACAGAGACACAGAAGGAAAACATACTGCACCCTTACTATAGAAGATGAGGCATAAAAATCAAACCTGCATAAAATCATAAATAGCAGTATTTACATTTGAACTATTTAATACATACAAGTTTGTAAATACAATTATTATTCAGGTATATGTACCATTTTCATCAATTGAGAAAGAGATGAAAGTATTTGACATGCTTTGTAATATTGAAGAAACAGAACAATATATACAGTTCAAGGGTCATGCTTTACATATTATTTGATGTCAAAAACCATTTACATCATTTATTCAGAAAGGTGTTTTTTATACAAGACCTTACTTTTTCTTATAAGAAAATATATATTTTCAACATGCATATGATACTTTAATCAAGCGTTCATATGGACTTCAAACAAATGTTTTTTATTACACGAAAACTGACAAAATTTACTTTTAGCTGAAAATGAATTTTTAGAATAACTATATAAAAAAATATATATTTCATTGACGTGTGACAAAAAATGCATACAAAAATAAACAAATAAGGAATTTGAACAGGTAAACACATACTTACAATACATGTCAAAGGGTACAACCGCTAAAATACAGTAAGGAAAAAAAGTGTTTTGCATGTAAATGAACAGAAAATAAAACTACGAAATGGGAAAAAGTAAATATAAAGTAGTGTAGTCAGTGATATGTTAATGTGAAACTAATAGATATTGCAAGTCAATAAGGTAATCATTTATTAGTACAACTAGAAAACTGATATGACAGCAATGGACCCACTTGGACATTCTTGAAACACTTACATTTATTTAATACATTTTGAAGGTGGCAGCAAATGCATAATTTTTGACACCAATTCATGATATCTTATTCTACCTAGATTGAAAATTTCCTTAAAATCCAAAATCCATGAAAGTTTTTTGGAGTATTTAGACACCCATTTTGAAGATAACAATCAATGAATAAATTAGACAACAGGAATTATTTCAGGACATCTTCTACATACATGTAGGTAATAGATATCAAATTTTGTTAAAATCCATGCACGTTGATTTTTTTATGTATTTTTAAGGCCATTTAGAAAATGGCAGGTGACAGATAATTTTTTTAATTTACTTTACAAATTTCGTTTAGAATAATATTATACATAATTTACCTGAACCACTCTATGTGTACTGTATAAACTAACAGTACATATATATACTTGTAAATATTTCAACATCCCAAACTTATGCATAGGACCTAGAAATGTTAGATTGTCTATATATCTACACACAAATCAATTGTCAATCTGGACAGAGCCTGAAGAAATACCTTATTAACTTAACAAATATATCTTAGAGGAATGTCTATGTGCAGTTTTGTTATATCATAGGGAATTGATAAAATAAAGTCAGAATTCCTAAAACAAAAAAAATAACAGTTAAAATTAAAAGTGCTACTAGTAGGCTGCAGGTATGTTAGTGTAATACAAACATGCAGTGTCTGAATTAATATTGTTAAGAGGGGAAAGAAATTCACTTTGACATTGTCTATCAACATCTTACATAAATCAATGAATTCAAAAGATCAAGTTAATTCATATGAATTCAATATGACATTTTCACAAATTGACTCATGATTATTTCTTCTTTCTTTTTATTCTTTCTAACACAGAAGAAGTTTCTTGTTTACCAGTTATATCATTAAACTTTATTTAATAAAGGTCATCCTTCCTTTTTTGCTGCATATTCAATATCCCCTCAATACTAAAAAAATGATATACATGTAGGTTCAAAATCTGAAACTATGTTAAATGAATATAAAGTGTGGAGTCTGAACTGTGTGATACAAAGCGATCAAATTTTATCTTTTTCTCTAGGTTCAGGTTAGACATATTGCTGTATATTTGTAAATCCAACACCAATTTGCACATTTAATCAAACAACCCATGTGCAAACTTTTTAAACAACTTTCCTACTAATAACTTTTTTCATCAGAATTGCTCACCTTTTTGCACCGCTGAATCAGCCTCTGGATACATTCCTAAGAAAAAATAGCAGCATGCCAAATTTGTCCACAGATCTGGATGACAGCCATCCTTCTTTGTCAATCTGCTATATTCCTGTAATCAAGAACAAGTCAAGGGAAATGTTATATAAATATTGTGATTTTTAGAACAGCTTCTATATACAATGATATATAAATGCTGAATTTTTTGTTGCTGATTATTATAATTTAAAGTAAACACAAAAATCATAATATAATGGAATGAAATCAATGAAACAATATCTTGTTAAGACATTAAGAGATAACAAACATTATCTAATGAAACACATGGGAAGGAAATAATGATCAATTAATAAAGGAACAAAGTTTTTGCTGATCTTTTTTTAAAAGTTACTGGAAGTTGATCAGTGATCAGCTGATGTTCAAATTGTATTCACACCTTAAAGCAAGATCAATATGGATTTGTTCAAGTAATCTAATTCATTGTTAGATAATCACATGTAAACCATGAACAGAAGAAACTAAAGCATGTATCATAAAAATAGAAGATTACTGAGTTTACTCATCTTCATAGTGTTGACTATGTTAAAAAGTACTAGTATTTGCAAAAAAAACTATCAACATAACAAGATGTTTCATAGGTTTTAAATGAATATTTCCATACATTAAATACAGTTTTCGTGTTATCAAAAATTCTCTGTGAACAAACAGGTAAAATGATAATTAAGATACATGACAATTGCCACTAAATGGAATATTTGGCATCTGTTTGTTTCAGCAGTTGTAATTTTACATACCTCCATAGACCTCTTATAATCTCCCAAATGAAATGCACAGTAGGCTATCCACATGTCAGATTCATCATTACCTCTACCACTATTTCTGTTAAACTAAAAATATTAATCATATCCTTAATACATTGGTACTTCTAAGTGGACATGATTATTTCTTTCAAAACACACAATATGTTCAGTATGAAATTTTTCTTATAAACAAAAGTATTTTTAGAAAAAAATCTGTTGATTTTATTCAATTAAAAGCACCCTCATTTTGTAATGCAAATCTTGTAACCCATGGTAGGCAACTTAAGTGAACACCTTAAGTGAACACCTTCTGGGTGATTTGAAACTTGACCTTACATTCAAGTTCTTGTCTGTAGACTTTGGCTGCATAATTAAAAAAAAAACAGGCCATGAAGTCAACTCTAGCAATTTTATTGATGGTGTTTTGTAGTCCAGAATCATGCTTGAAATTCATGTAAGAATGATGTAAATTTTAGAAAGCTTACAATTTCATGTACATACATGTACCTAACAATCTAAATTTTGTTTGAATGTTTGTGTCATTGGTATGTTGTACATTGACTTATACCCCACAGCTCCTTTCAGTCATTTATTTTCAAACAATAGTTATAATATAAACAAAAAATGTATGATAAAGAATTAAGTGATAGTTGGCTGTTGAATTCCCAGTGATGGATAGTACATGTATACAGTTAAAGAGTACCCATCATAAGATGTAGTCAATTTGTTCAATTTGTTGGTAAACTTCATAAAATGACTTACCTCTAACAGTGTTATTGCTCCAGTATAATCCCTTAGGTTTAAGAAGTCTTCAACTTTTGGTATTTTTTTCTTCTTTTTATCTGCTTCTTTTGCAGGAGTTGTAGAGCCAGGCCCAATGGCCGGCTTTGCACGTGAGAGCATCTAAAATAAAAATACAAACTAGGGGATGAACCATTATCCAAAGTTTTTACCTTTCATAATTACAATGTAAACCACCAAATTAAAGTTATTCAAACAATCATGGAGATCAAACATATTAAATATTAAAACCTAATGAAGGACAAAGTCTCATAAAAGGAAGAAAATGAATGGCTTATAAACCAAAAAGAACAAAAAGTACAGCCAAAGCCTGCAAGGAATCAGAACTTTGCATATGGGAGATATATTCTTTAATCTAAAAAAAAAAAATTTACCAACTTTCGTAACAGCAAATTTAAATAACACCTTCCTCATATTATACATGAAAAATATATTCTAACAAATACCAATCTATAATTGTCAGATGAAAACCAGCTCAAAATTAAACAAAAAATATATTTTTTCATTAATTTAAGATTCTTTTACCTGATTACATGTATCTACATGTACATAAAAAATCAGGGCAAATAACCTCTATGGGTGAGCATGTTATGTGGTCGAATGATACAAATACCAAAAAATTCGTAAGGGTTCCACGAAACCCAGTGTCTCGCCTACTTTTGCTGTAAGTCGCAGACACAACAAAATGGGGAAAAAATTATTAAAAATTTTCCTCTAGATACTATCTTTTGATTGTAAGAAGTTCTGTTCAAGTTTGGTAAAAATCCAAGAAGGTTTATGAATCTAATAAATGTTTTAAAAACTTTAACCATGTTAACTGCAGACTGTACGTAATGTTAACTGGAATAAAACTAAGTCCATTTATAAGTAATATACAGAAAAACAGGAAATAAATTTTTACAAAATTTCCTTCTAGATACTAGCTTTTGATCATAAACAAGCTTCTGTCCAAGTGTGGTACAAATCCAGGATAGTTTAAGAAAGTTATTAAAATTTGAAAAACTTTAACCACAGAGTGAATGTTATGTTAACTGGCAGAAAAACTAAGTCCATTTATGAGTAAAATATGGATAAACAGGATTTTTTTTTTTACAAAATTTTCTTCTGGATACTATCTTATGATTATAAACAAGCTTCTGTCCAAGTTTGGTACAAATCTAGGATAGTTTAAGAAAGTTATTAAAATTTCAAAAACTTTAACCACAGAGTGAATATTTGTGGACACCGCCGCCAACAACGACGGAATGTAGGTTCCCTATGTCTCGCTTTGCGACGGCTCGACAAAAAGGGGGTATGTTGACTGATTACTTTCCTGTAAGTAGTTAAATTAATTGATAAAAAGTGACAAGAGGAAAAGAATACTAATTTTTTTTTCTCTTTCCAAAAGCATAAGCATTACAATGTGTGTTGATTTGTTAAACATTGTTTATGTATGATGTGAAGGTAAAAAAAGTTCATCTCAATCTGATTTTTAACATGGAAACAAGTGCTTGTGGTGCCAGGCTAAGGTTTTACGTTAAACCATATTTGAGCTGGTATCAAAAAGAACTGGGTTCTTAGTTATTTGATTCTATCAAATACTGAAGATATATTACCATATTGAAATAATTTTAAATTCTTTTCCAACAGTGTAAACGATTTTTGTTGTCAATGAAGCCTTGGTTGGAATGCAATCACTGCGCATGCGTGTGAGTCAGTGTTAAACATAATTTTATTTTATCGATCGTTTTCTTGTTCTCTACAAGCGTTTAACTGATTTAAAAAAGTGATTAAAGGTTTTCGGTCTCGGGTCAGCACTGTCTCGGTTTTGTAAATGCATTAAGAGAAATATCAATTTCATTTAAATAACATTTATGTGAGTGTTAAAAACTAGCAGAAAAAAATGTAAAGAGACTCAAAATGGGAAGGTTTACAAAACATAGTGGAAGTTAAAAAGTGTAAAACAAAAGGTTGTTGTTTCCTCCATATCTTCAAGTTCCACTAATTGCATGCCTATTAATAGAAATGATTTCCCTTTGGATGGTTCAAACCTGATGAAACCTGGACTATTATACTGTTAGTCCCTGCTCAAACTGTATGCATTCATCATTGTATTTGTAGTTGGGATGCTCTTTTTATACGACCGCAAAAAAATTTTGTGGTCGTATATTGGTATGACGTTGGCGTCGTCGTCGTCGTCGTCGTCGTCGTCCGGCGTCGTCGTCGTCGTCGTCGTCGTCCGGCGTCGTCGTCCGAATACATATTGGTTTTCGCACTCTAACTTTAGTTTAAGTGAATGGATCTTTTTGAAATTTGACCATAAGGTTAAATACCACAAAAGGAAGGTTGGGATTGATTTTGGGGGTTATGGTACCAACAGTTAAGGAATTAGGGGCCAAAAAGGGGCCAAAAATGAGCATTTTCTAGTTTCCAGACAATAACTGTGGAACGGTGTATGGATCTCTCTGAAATTATACTACAAGTTTCCATACCACAAAGGGATGGTTAGGATTTGCTTTGGGGGGTTATGGCTCAAACCGTTTAGGAATTAGGAGCAAAAAAGGGGGAAAAACAAGGTTGTCCTGGTTAATGGACAAATACTTTAGTACAAAACATAATTTAAAGCAGTGTAAGGGAGATAAATCAAATACATCATTGAAATTATCTCCCTTACACTGCTTTTAAATTATGTATAAAGTAATGGTTAATGAACAATAAAGATAATCTAAAACAGTGTAAGGGAGGTAATCCAAATACAACGTTTTGGTTACTTCCCTTACACTGCTTTTAAATTATGTTTAAAGAAATGCATATTTATAAAGGAAGACCAGTAAAAATATCTGCAAATGTTTTCATCTTTTTTTTTTACAAAAAAATCCATATGAAAGATTTGACACTATATTATTATTAATTCTATTATAAAATAGATTAAGTTAGCACTATGGTAAATTTAAATGGGTAATTATGGTTGCCAACTCCATTGGAAATTTGAATTGAGATTATGACCATATCTTGAGGGAAAGAATTTTTTGGGGGGAAAAAGGGGGGGGGGGGATAAAAAGAAATTGTGGGGGGCCAATTTTTTCTCATTTCAGATTTCAGAAATTAAAAAGAATTATTCTTCAAATATTTTTTTTTTTTCAAATTTCAAATATTGAAAAATTTCAAGAAGTAATCTTTAATTGCACAGTATGGCGCATTAGATTTGTAAAATCTTTGATCACATTTATTTATTTGTTATGCCGAATCTAACAGTGTATTTAGATTTTTAATTTTGGGTCCAGTTTTCAAATTGCATTAATGTCCAAAGGGTCCAAAATTAAACTTTGTTTGATTTTAGCAAAAATTGAATATATGAGGTTCTTTGATATGCTGAATCTAAACATGTATTTAGATTTTTGATTTTTGGCCCAGTTTTCAAGTTGGTCCAAATTGGGGTCCAAAATTAAACTTTGTTTGATTTCAACAAAAATTGAATATATGGGGTTCTTTGATATGCTGAATCTAACCATGTATTTAGATTTTTTATTTGTGGATCCCCGTTATCTAATTGGTTCATATTGAGGTCAAAAGGGTCCAAAATTAAACTTTGTTTGATTTCATCTAAAATTGAATTATTGGGGTTCTTTGATATTCCAAATCTAACCGTGTATTTAGGTTTTTAATTTTTGGATCCTGTTTTTTAAATTGGTCTACATTGAGGTCCAAAGGGTCCAAAATAAACTTAGTTTGATTTTAACAAAAATTGAATTCTTGGGGTTCTTTGATTTGCTGAATCTAAACATGTGTTTAGATTTTTGATTATGGGCCCAGTTTTCAAGTTGGTCCAAGATAGGGTCCAGTATTTAAACTTTGTTTGATTTCAACAAAAAATGAATATATGGGGTTCTTTGATATGCTGAATCTAAACATGTATTTAGATTTTTGATTATGGGCCCAGTTTTCAAGTTGGTCCAAATTGGGGTCCAAAATTAAACTTTGTTTGATTTCAACAAAAATTGAATATATGAGGTTCTTTGATATGCTGAATCTAACTCATGTATTTAGATTTTTTATTTGTAGGCCCCGCTATCAAATTGGTTCATATTGAGGTCAAAAGGGTCCAAAATTAAACTTTGTTTGATTTCATCGAAAATTGAATTATTGGGGTTCTTTGATATGCCAAATCTAACCGTGTTTTTAGATTTTTAATTTTAAGTCCCGTTTTTTAAATTGGTCTTCATTGAGGTCCAAAGGGTCCAAAATTAAACTTAGTTTGATTTTAACAAAAATTGAATTCTTGGGGTTCTTTGATATGCTGAATCTAAACATGTGTTTAGATTTTTGATTATGGGCCCTGTTTTCAAGTTGGTCCAAGTTGGGGTCCAAAATTAAACTTTTTTTGATTTCAACAAAAATTGAATATATGGGGTTCTTTGATATGCTGAATCTAACCATGAATTTAGATTTTTTATTTGTGGGCCCCGCTATCAAATTGGTTCATATTGAGGTCAAAAGGGTCCAAAATTAAACTTTGTTTGATTTCATCAAAAATTGAATTATTGGGGTTCTTTGATATTCCAAATCTAACCGTGTATTTAGATTTTTAATTTTAAGTCCCGTTTTTTAAATTGGTCTACATTAAGGTCCAAAGGGTCCAAAATTAAACTTAGTTTGATTTTAGCAAAAATTGAATTCTTGGGGTTCTTTGATATGCTGAATCTAAACATGTGTTTAGATTTTTGATTATGGGCCCAGTTTTCAAGTTTGTCCAAGTTGGGGTCCAAAATTAAACTTTGTTTGATTTTAACAAAAATTGAATATATGGGGTTCTTTGATATGCTGAATCTAACCATGTATTTTGATTTTGGACATTGGACCATAATAGGTAAATTAAAAAAATTCAAGTTCTTAGACCACATTCTTTCTGTGTCAGAAACCTATGCTGTGTCAAATATTTAATAACAATCCAAATTCAGAGCTGTATCAAGCTTGAATGTTGTGTCCATACTTGCCCCAACTGTTCAGGGTTCGACCTCTGCGGTCGTATCAAGCTGCGCCCCAGCGAAGCATTTTATTTCTTGTAAAGTTTAGACGAGTATACACCAGAAACCATATAAATTTAGGTGTACATATGACAAAATTGTCATTAATTTCGAACTTCTTTTTCATCCTGTGCTGTCTATTGATGTTTAGCATGCATCGTGTTTTGATAGCTGTTACATGTCTTGATTTCAGATTGCCAAGTCTGTTTTCTTTATGTGTTTTGTGATCAAATGTAATGCTGTGCGCACTGTAATCGGTACAATGCATTTATATTATATCCTGCAGGCAGTTTTTATATAATAATGTTAAAACAGAGACATATAATACAATGTGTATTATAAGTGCCTGCTTAAATTTATATTTATAGTTTTAATTGTTTTTTCTTCTGAAATTGAAGTAATTATATAAATAAAATAGATACCCGATGAAGAATCTATGCTAACTTGTGACCATATATGTCGAAGAATGACAACACCATGTCTGAGGTTCTGGATGGGGTTTACAGAATAGATAATAATGTTAAAAAACACACAGACTATTAAACGGACGGGACGAAAGAAATACAGAACAGGGAAAACTGGACCAAACTTATACAGAATAGAGAATAATGGGGTGCTAGAATATAAAGAATAGAGAATAATGGGGTGCTAGAATATAAAGAATAGAGAATAATGGGGTGCTAGAATATAAAGAATAGAGAATAATGGGGTGCTAGAATATAAAGAATAGAGAATAATGGGGTGCTAGAATATAAAGAATAGAGAATAATGGGGTGCTAGAATATAAAGAATAGAGAATAATGGGGTGCTAGAATATAAAGAATAGAGAATAATGGGGTGCTAGAATTATAAAGAATAGAGAATAATGGGGTACACAAGTATAAAGAATAGAGAATAATGGGGTGCTAGAATATAAAGAATAGAGAATAATGGGGTGCTAGAATATAAAGAATAGAGAATAATGGGGTGCTAGAATATAAAGAATAGAGAAAACTGGGGTGCTAGAATATAAAGAATAGAGAATAATGGGGTGCTAGAATATAAAGAATAGAGAATAATGGGGTGCTAGAATTATAAAGAATAGAGAATAATGGGGTACACAAGTATAAAGAATAGAGAATAATGGGGTGCTAGAATATAAAGAATAGAGAATAATGGGGTGCTAGAATATAAAGAATAGAGAATAATGGGGTGCTAGAATATAAAGAATAGAGAATAATGGGGTGCTAGAATTATAAAGAATAGAGAATAATGGGGTACACAAGTATAAAGAATAGAGAATAATGGGGTGCTAGAATATAAAGAATAGAGAATAATGGGGTGCTAGAATATAAAGAATAGAGAATAATGGGGTACACAAGTATAAAGAATAGAGAATAATGGGGTGCTAGAATATAAAGAATAGAGAATAATGGGGTGCTAGAATATAAAGAATAGAGAATAATGGGGTGCTAGAATATAAAGAATAGAGAATAATGGGGTGCTAGAATATAAAGAATAGAGAATAATGGGGTGCTAGAATATAAAGAATAGAGAATAATGGGGTGCTAGAATATAAAGAATAGAGAATAATGGGGTGCTAGAATATAAAGAATAGAGCATAATGGGGTGCTAGAATATAAAGAATAGAGAATAATGGGGTACACAAGTATAAAGAATAGAGAATAATGGGGTGCTAGAAT